AGCATTAACTATCAACCATTAATTTCGTATATTTCATTGATCATTTTAATTAATTTTCATAATAATCACTAATAATTACAAATTAGATCACAATCGATATTATACCATTTTAATACAATTTTAAATATTAACACATAAGTTCTACAATAATCTATCAATATTTAGAAATTATTGTAAACAGTTAAATCAAGTCATAGTGTGAAATAACAATTTTAAATACTATAATAAATCACAACAACACATGCATGAACTACTAATTTACAGGATATAATTAACTAGATTAGCACAACAATTATTTTTAGTTCTAATAAATAATTGAATTGGTAATCTTGATCATTTAATATTCTACCCAGAATTTTCAGAACACAATCTTTGTGGTTAAAATTATAATTAAATTATTTAGACAATTCTAAAATTCATATAATTATTATAGAACGTATGTGTTAATATTTTATGTTAAAAATTGTATTAAAATAGTATAGTATCGATTGTGATCTAATTTGTAATTATCTAAAATGTTAAAAAAAATATGTGATGGTCATTTTTCGGAAAGGATTTTCCAAAAATAAGTTACAATTACAAGAAATTACATGACACAAATTCATTACATTTTCTTAAAATAATTCCACACAAAAAATTTATAAGTCAAATCCATAATCCAAAAATTGAGTATGAAACTTAAACTTCTCAAATTTCATTTTTAAGTTAAAAAAATACCATATTTAGTCTAACATAAGAATTTTAGTGATTTTTCAAAGATGATGTAGAATCTATCTAAAATTTTAGATTTAGTTAAAATTTTATATAAATTCATACAGAGGTAAAATAATTGATAACAAAATTTCTTTGTGATCTAGACATTGTAGACACCCCATTTTTGATCGTCCTCAAGACTTGGACGTCACCGTTTGAACACTCGGTGATTATCCATGTTTGTATTCGTTTGGAGTTCCCGGAGGTCTCGGCTCGCGCGCCTTGCCTCAGGATCTCCGAACTTGACTGTTTAGTGTCTAGTTTTACACCAAACACTTTGCATGTTTGTCTAAGTCTTCGGCCTTGTCAAAAATGGGTCATCTCTGGGCTTTGACATTCACTCCCGTCATTGTTATAACTTTCGAGTTCTGTCAAAGAGGGGCAACTGTAGACACCCCATTTTTGACCGTCCTCAAGACTTGGACGTCACCGTTTGAACACTCGGTGATCATCCATGTTTGTGTTCGTTTGGAGTTCCCGGAGGCCTCGGCTCGCGCGCCTTGTCTCAGGATCTCCGAACTTGACTGTTTAGTGTCTAGTTTCACGCCAAACACTTGTGTTTTGCCTTGGAGAGGCAAGGTAGGGCTTGTAGACCATCCCCACCCACCACCGGCAGTGGCTAGAGGCCACCGGCTGGTTTTTGCTGCCACCGGCAATGTATATTGCTGGCCGACACTATTTGTTTCCGGTCAGCACTTTTTAGTGCCGGCCGGCACTCTTTTTGGCCAAGATGGCATTTTTGGCCGGCCGATTACTGTGCATCTGCTTTTGCAGATATTTTAAGACAGCTGTCTTGCTTTTGCTCCCCTCCATACACGTGTATGGAGGGATCTCCCTCTTGTGAAGCTTGTCTTGTAAGCTTTACAAGACAAGAAGTGCCATATAGAGAGAGAGGTTGGTCTCTTGGCTGAGGAGGTTAGACATTTAAGATATTTTGAGAGCTTAGACAGCCATTGTTAGGGTTTGAGTTCTAGGGTTAGGGTTTGATATACATTATCTCTCTCTTTTTTCCCTCTTGTGTGTGTAAAAGTGTGTTTAGTCCATACTATTGCACACAAACACATAGTGTTTCACCTTCGAAGTTTTGGTGTTGGATCCAAGCTAAAGGAGGCCATTGGAGCACCATTTGTGAAGAGGTCTACAAGGGTAAGAAACTTACACCTTTTTTCCCCATTTTTGCATTGATTTTCTACTTATCTTAGAGCTATTTTTGTGCTTATTGTATAACATAAAAAAGTTCTATTTTTAGGCCCTTTTTATTGTTTATTAAGAGTGTTTTGTTGTTCGAGGGTGGTTGACCCCCCTTAGGCCTTGAAAGGCCTCATTTTGGGCCATTTTGTGCTAGCTCTGGAATTTTGGTGTTGGGGTCTCTTCACCACTGAAATCTTGAGAGATTTCAGTGGTGAAGATGATGCCTTGAAGTCCCAAGAAGGAGAGGGCCACCCCCTCTCCTTGTTGTCCTTGAAAAGGGCATGTTTTGGCCTCTTGAGAGAGCATTATGCTTGAGTGTGTGTTGAGCATGTTTAGGTTGTTTTTCATGCTTATATATCCATAATATAACATGATTTTAAATCGGTTTTGGTACTCCATGCATGCTTAGTATAGTTGCCTTGTAATGCCTTGTTATGCCTTAACATGTCTTAGGTTGTTAGCCTTTGTTGGAGCATGTTTTAGGCTTAGTCTTAGAGTGTTTGGGTTGATTTTGGCATGCTTGATATAGCTCCTTTGTATTTGGGCTTGTTGGCCTTGAGTATGTGCATGTGTAGTTGGCTTGTTGGCCTTAGGTATGTGCATGTATAGCATGGCACCTTTTCATTGTTTTGGTGATTTGGGACCACCCTACATGCTATTTCAGTCCCATTTTCATACTTGCCTTGATTGCCTTGCATGCCTTGTTGATGCTTTGAAAGCATGTGTTGCATGCTCCATGTTTTGACCATTTGTGCATGCCTTTGTTTTTGGGTCATTTGGATGCCATCTAAGTGGTCCTTAGGCCTTGTATTAATGCCCCAAAACTCTGTTTTTGATCAATGAGTTCATGCCATGTTTGGTCTTGTCAAGTGTAGTTCAATGCTCCTTTGATTTGCTTTGAACACTTAGACTATTTATTGCATGTTTGGCTTGATTTATTGCTTGGTTTGGCACCATGATTTAGCATGATTTCAATGCTTATGTTGCATGATAATTAGTCCATGATTCCCCCTTTCAAGTGTGCTTGAGAGTTGTTCAATTTATGCCTAAGTGTTGGCCTTCCAACATATGTATGTGTGCATGTGCATGGTCTTGCGGAGAGAGGCGCAGCTGTCCATCATGGGTGTCTCGGTACTGTTCAATTTTCTTGCATTTATCATATTTCTGATGACATGCTGAATTTGAACATTTCACTGCACTGATTGACCGACTGTATGCGGAGAGCACATCTGACACACACCACATCCATGTACTATATTTGCATAGGTCCACTCCATGTAGCTTTTTATCTGTACATCCGATATACATATTTTGGCTGATGTATTCAAATTGCACTCTTTCTTTTCAGATGCGTCCGATATATACCGGACCACAGGCCGGGCCATCTGGGCCTTCCGGAGGAGCTGGGCCATCTAGGCCTTCTCGAGGAGCCGGGAAAGGGGAGTCGTCTCGCAGACGAGGCGGGCGCCGAGCACATATCATTGAGGAGGAGTCCAGTGAGGAGGAGGAGTCCGCGTATCGTCAGACAGAGACATCTGCTGGCGGAGAGGATGACTCTGAGTCTGGTTCTGAGGGCAGAGATGATGCCGAGGAGGATCTCGAGGATGACAGCTCTGACTCAGATGGCGATGATGGTGCTGAGGCT